ACCCTGTATACCAAGGGGGGTGGGAATGAGCCTCACTGTAGAGATTTGTCTGCTCCTTTGTCCTACTGCATCCACAAGCATAGGTTAAGTTCATCCACTCGTAGTGGGTTACTCTTCCCCCCACCCCCCGTCCCCCTTCTTTCTTCCTCTAGTCATGTGCTGATCATCCAGCCATTGATGCCAGGTCAAATGGGTACATCTACAAATGTGGGTATTCTTATGCATCTCCCCTCGCTTCATATCAGCTGGATGCTTCACACTTCTTTCTAGTCCTCTGGGGCCATGTCCCTGCTCCTGGGCCCAGGAGTCCCCAGGTCTCGTCATACTGCTGGTTAACCAGGTCTCAATCCAGGTTAACAGGAGTCTAGTGAGTGTGGTCGGACTTTGTTCACAACTTCATTGCTGTTTTTCCCCTACTTCCTCTTATCAGTGACCAACATGGTCAGCAGCAGGACCATATGCCTGCTAGTGTATTCCATTTGAGTTTCAGTCTTGGAAGGGGGTTTGTCTGGCCGTTTTTGGTGAATGCCACCAAGTCAGAAATGTTGGGTGCATGCTAGACAACACCCCCTCTTCGTTCCCAGTGCAGTCTCAGTTCCTGAATACTTCCCTGGGATACATCCCATTCTCCGACCACTGCTGGTCCCTCATCATCTCTTACCTACCTTTTTAAAATAACCATCTAACTGATCTTTCTGCTTCCAGTTGCTTCCACCTCTGAATTATCCACTCACCCTTTCAAAAGATTTATGAATATCAGCTCATCCTAATGTGTCCCATTCCCACTAAAACCATTTATTTGGTAGCCCTAATTGCACTCTGGGAAGTCCTGGTGTGGCTTTGCGGGTTAATGTGCTAGACTGCAATGTCAGTTTGAACTTCAAGGTCTGCGGTTCAAGCTCACCAGCCACTCCTTGGAAACGCTATAAAGTGTCATTGTGAGTTGGAACTGACTCAACGGCACTTAACAACAACAACAATAACAATTTCACTCAGGACTCCTGGGGTGGCACTGTAGGATCAGTACTGGACTGTGAACCACAGGTTGGCGGTTCAACCCATCAGCTGCTCCTTGGAAACCCTATAAAGGGTTGATATGAGTTGGAACCGACTCGATGACACTTACCAACAACAGTTGAACTCCACACCTGTCTGTCAGTTTGTTGTACAGTTGTGACCTGTGTGTTGCTGTAATTCTAGAAACTATGCTACCATTATTTCAAATACTATCAGAGTGGCTAGGTTGCAATGCAGCTCCAGACTAAGATAGACTAGGAAGAAAGGCCAGGCAGATCACAGCGGAACATTAACTGACTTGTTTGCTTTGGACATGTCACCAGGAGATAGATATCAGTAGCTAGAGAATGACATCGTGGTTGATGAAGTAGAGGACTATTGGCACAGTAGCCAAAACAAAGGACTCAAACATGCAGGGAATTGTGAGGATGACAGAAGACCAGGAAATAAATTGAGTTGGAATCAAGTACAGGGCAACTAGCAACAACAATAGCAAATGAACTCAGGGCAAAAGCCAAATTCCTCAGCAGGGTCTATGAGTCACTACCCACTTCTCCAGTCTGGTCTCCTACTCATCCTGTCAATTGCTCCGGCAATACCCAACTGCTTGTGATTCCTCTGCTCCACGCTGTGCTCTGACCAATCCCTGCCTGGAACGAGGCCTCCTACTCCTTTCCTCATTATTTGTATTCATCCTTCAAGTCTCAATTTGTTATCTCCTCTGTGAAAGCTGATCTGCTCTGGACTAATTAATCACACTGCCTCTGTATATTCCCTAAGGTAATTGTCTTATTCAAGTTTTGTACTTAGTGCCAAGAAGTGCTATCTCATCCATTCATTTGTAGAAGTATTTATTGAGCTTACTCTACTTATAGGATGATAAGAAAAAGTTTTTATCCCATCTGCATTGACCAAGCCTGTGTTGTCTTTGTATGCCCAACATCTAGCATGGGATCTGGCATCTAGCAAATAAACTGAATAGACTGACTTACTGAATAAACAAATACAAGTATATGTCTAGTCTCTGTGCCTTTGTTGGTCCCTGTTAGCTCTAAAACTCTTCTTTCTTTGCTCTAGTACCATGGGAAAACGTATGGCAAAATCAGCTACAAACCCAGGCTTTAGAGTCAAGCAGACTCAGGTTCAAATATTGGCATTGTTATTTATAACAGTGTGACTTTGTCTCAGTTTCCTCTCCTGTAAAATGGGGAAGAAAAAAAAAAAAAGAATCTATTTCAGGGGTTGCTAGGAGGATTAAATCAGGCAATATATTTAAAGATATTCCGGCAAATGTCTAATACATGGTAAGGGTTCATTAAGTAGTAGAATTGACTCGATGGCAGTGGAGTTATCTTTTGTTTTGTTTTGTCTTTAACAAACAGAAATTGATTCTTTCACAGTTTACCAGACTAGAAGTCTGTTTTCTGAGCACTGGCTGCACAGGAAGACTTTCTCTTTGTTAAGGCTCTGGGGAAAGGTCTAGTCTACTTCCAGTGTCTGTAGGAATCAATCGGTCCATGAATCTAGGAGCTTCTTCTCAGTGCAGGGACTCTGGGTCCAAAGGACATACTCCACTCCTGGCTCTTCTTTTTTGGTTGTAGTTGGTCCCTATCTGTTTTATTATTATTATTATTATTAATAGTTTAGCTAATCCTTTATGATTCAGATCAAGAGCTATCTCCTCTGAGAAGTCTTCTTTTACCCCATTTTTTCTCCCACTGGAGCTAGGTGCTTTGCCTTTTAGTTGCTCTTGTAGTTTATGCTCACTTCTCTCATGTTGTTAGGTACCATTGAGTCGGTACCGACTCATAGCAACCCCATGCACAACAGAACGAAACACTGCCCGGTCCTGGGCCAACCTCACTATTCTTGGCACACTTGAGTCCATTGATGCTGCCACTTTGCCAATCCATCTTGCTGAGGGTCTTACTCTCTTTCTCTGACCCTCCACCTTACCAAACATGATATCCTTCTCCAGTGATTGGTCCCTCCTGATAATATGTCCAAAGTATAAGAGACGAAGTTTGGCCATCTTGGCCTCCAAGGTGCACTCTGGCTGCACTTTGGCCATCTTGGTCTCCAAGGTGTACTCTGGCTGCACTTTTTCCAACACAGATCTGTTGGTTCTTTTGGCAGCCTGTGGCACTTTCAATATTCTCCTCCGACACCATAACTCAAATGATCTTCTATGGTCTTCCTTAGCCACTGTCCAGCTTTTGCATGCATATTTCATTATAATATTTGATTTTGTCTTCTTGAACTGCCCTTTGAAATTTTCTGTTGAACTCTTTTGTGTAATTAATTCAGCAATGTTTTTGAGCTAGACCTAACTATCAAATACAGAGTGATGAGAGAAAATGATTGTTTTGTAGTTTGTGAACTCTGTAGGAGCTTGACCGTGTATTGCCTCTGTAACTCCAGCATCTAGCATGATCCCGGACATTCATAACTGACTGGTATGGATGGGCTCACTGAATAAACAAAGGAATGGATTGATTTTCACTGTATCTGTGGCTTTCATATTACATGAGTCTCTGGGGCCAGCATTTCAATTTTCACTACTTTTAATGCATGTAATGTCATGCCAGCTTTCCTTCGGTGTACTGGCAAGATCATTCTATTTCTGTATTTCAGATTCTACAACAAGGTGCTTTCTTTGCACGAGGATCCAGCAACCCCTGTGGCTAACCCTCTGCTTGCATTTACTCTCATTAAACGCCTGCAGTCAGACTGGAGGAATGTGGTTCATAGTCTGGAGGCCAGTGAGAACATCCAAGGTAATGAGGAGGGTGGCTGGAAGGTGAGAGGGAGGCGTCTATATCCTGATCCAGTGGAGAGGAGAGAGTCTGATGGGAGGTGATAAAGACTGATGTCGCTGGGTATTACTGATTTCCTGAGCTGTAGCTTGGAGAAAGTGGTCCTTTGTGAATATGTTTACATATGATTTTACTCTCGAATGCACTTTCATATCCATTATCTCATCTGATTTTCACTGGAGTCCTGTGAAGAAGTAGAGGCTATATCATTCCCTTTGTATATATATGTAGGAAGTACTGGTCTTCTAGTAATTTCTATCTCATTAAACTGCTCTGTAGAGAAATCACTTTCTTCATTTGTTCTACTTTGTCCTTCAAGAATGTTATTGACTTTGGGAAACTTAAGAGGCAGAATTATTTCTCCAAAGGGCAAGATTCCTGGAGACAGATACAATGGGACAACATGGTGAAATGTGTACCATAATTTTACTCCAGGTCATTTATTCCTCATTCAGAAAATTATATTAAGTATGCATTCTCTGCCAGGAATTATCTTTGCCACTGGGAACACAAAGACAAATAAAATGTTATCTTTGCTCATAAGCTATCTGAACAGGTGATCTTGCCTTGCATATATGAGTGCTCACTACCAGTTTTTTGCATGGTAGATTGATGTTTTTATAATCTATACAGCCCTGAAGGATGGCTATGATACGGTGGAGAAAGACCTTCCAGCCTTTGAGGACCTTGAAGGAGCAGCAAGGGCCTTGATGCGGCTGCAGGATGTGTACATGCTCAATGTGAAGGGGCTGGCCCGAGGGGTCTTCCAGAGGGTCACTGACTCTGCCATCACTGACCTTTATAATCCCAGGCCACTTTTCTCCCTCACAGCAGATGACTGCTTCCAAGTTGGCAAGGTAACAGTATTCCAAAAGAGGGCAAGTTGCTCAGTACTAGTTTCTTGTAGATTAATTATGTCCCAATTGCTTTGATATGTTTGTAATTTTTATAACAGATTGCTGAGTGGTAGAAGTCTCCCTTTCCACACAGGAGATCTAGGTTCACTTCCTGGCTAGTGCATCTCATGGGCAGCTACTACCTTTCTGAGAGTGGAGGCTTGCATGTTCCTGTAATGCTCACCTGGTTTCAGTGGAGCTTCCACATGAAGACATCTAGGAAGACATGTCTGGTGGTCTGTTTCTGAAAACCCTGTGGATCCACGGGTCTGTCTGCAGTGGTCTGATCTGAGACTGATCAAGGGATAGAGCAGGACTGGGCAGTGTTTTGCACACTGACAACAATAAATCTTTACAACGTCAAGATTTGGTGTTGTTTCCCATTTTTATATGAAGAAAATGAGATGCTGTTAGCTGTGGTTGACTCATGATAACTGATCAGACTGTTGTGCTCCATAGGTTTTCAGTGCTTGATTTCTGGAATTAGATCACCAAACCTTTCTTCCTACTCTCAGTATGGCAGCTCTGCTGAAACCTGTTACACTTCTTAGTAACACATAAGCCTCCACTGACAGCCAAACGGCAGCTGTGCTTGAAGAGCATCAGCTAGGAATCAAACCCTGGTCTTCCACACAAAAGGTGAGAAGTCTACCACGAAACCACCACTGCTATTGAAATAAGTTGTCTAAGGTTACACAACTTTACATAGCAGAACCCAGGTCTAATTCTTTCCCCAATAGCTAACCCACTGCCATCTAGTTGGTTCCAACTTAATAGGTTTCAGATGCTGTCAGTCTTTACAGAAAACCTTATCTTTCGCCCATGGAGCAACTGTTGGGTTTAAACTGCTGACCTTGTGGTTAGAAGTACAGTGCTTATCTAGGGCTCCTGACAAAAACTAAGGTAATCACATATTTAAGACACTCTTGAGAGTGAAATGGGTGTTACTAATTATGCCAAGACACTAGACATAAACTGGGGCTATTTGGAAAATTGGTCATCTGATCACCCTAACTGTAACACCTTGTCAGTAGATGAACTGTTGAATATAAAGGGGGAGCTAGGGAGGAAAGGAATAAGAAATGGCAATTTGAAGTTAAGATCATGGAAATTCTCAGCCTTCTGAGACTTCCTGGAATTCCTTGCAACTTTTCCTAAGTGTTAAGAAATACTAAATTGAAATGTCAAAAAACTGAGGCCATTCACTGTAACATTATTTGTGGAAATCCACTTTAAGAACCTCCCCTATGAGGTATTTAGCTAATCTTTGATCAAAATTATACTGACACTTGAGGTCATTTTATGATGTTCTCTTTGACAGTCTTTCCCTCAAGAAGTAATGGAGTAACACAGAGTAGACAGGGATGGTCAACTTGGACATTGGCTCCCCAAAGTGGAGGGGCTGCACAGGCAAGAAGTGACTGGCTTATGAGCTTTCAAGAGGGAACCTAGATCCAGAGGGCTTGGAGGAAGGAAGAATCTTCACTGAGTAGTATCCAATCTGTCTAGGTGGGACTGATTGAAGGAAATGCGGATAGGTCTCTTGTGATACAATTGTTAACAGGATAATTGTGACGGTTGGGAATGTAAAGGTAGACATTTTGTAGCAAGGAAGGGAGTGATTAATGTTGCAGTCCAGGAGCAGAGGTCCCTGGGACCATCAAGGGAGAAGAGCAGAGAGCTGGACCCTATCCAGAGAAGCAGTGACGCCAGAGATGGAGACAGAGACGATAATGTGGAGAGATGGAGCAGCTGGGAACTGTAGAGCCAGAGAGGGAGAGGGGTTGTGTGCTGATGACCGAGGATGGTGAGGGGGGCAGGCTTATAGGGTATATTCTTTGGTTGGTTGATGATACATGGAGGGGATTGTAATCATGGCAATGAAACGATATACGATAGGATGAATGTAAAACTAATGTTCTCCCATGTACACTATCACATAATTCACACACAAAACAATTTTTTCAAAGAAGTAATGGAGTAAATCCTTTTTAATTTTGAAGATATGTATTGCATATTTATGTAATAGACAGGAATTTATAAATTTTTCTCAGTCCTTACAGTTTTCACTGCTGAGCTGAGTAGATGTCATGAGATCAACTTTTGGGATTAGTCTCCAAATTATGCCTCTTTATGAATTATTTTCTTTTTCTGAGATCCTGAAGGACTCAGTGCTCCATCATCAAGTTCATGGCTAATTTAAATTGAAACCTGTTAAAATAGTTTCATGTGTGCTCATTAGTGAGCCTTTTCTCAAATCAAAGTCATATGCTGAGAAGGCAATAAGTCACTTCCTTACAGCTCACTGGCAATCTTTATTTCTGTATTTATCTTACTTGTTTTGAAAGAGAGAACATTGCAAACGCAAGAAAAGTACATAAAATAACTTAGCAAGCAATTGAGACTAGATTTATGTTCCAGTTTAGCCATATTTGCTTCAGATTTTCTTAAAACATGCTGCATATAACTACAGCCCATTCCTCTTCCTTCTCCCAACTCACTCACACTGCCGCTTTCACTCCATCCATGCCCAGGTAACCCTCATCCTCAAGTTAGTGTCTATCATTCCTGTGCATATTTTTATACTATTTAACTAGATACACGTTTCTCTAAACTTTTTATGTATTCAGAAATTTGGCATAAATAAAATCATATTACATAAAAATTTGGCATAAATAAATCATTGAACTAGTTCACAGATAGTGTTACAATTCAATTATCTGGAAAAAAATTGCTTTGGGCCCACATTTATCATCTTCTCCTTTTCCTATTCCCTTTTTAAAATGTCACTAATATTAAATAAGAGAAAGGATATCAGGATTATCTTTGTGTTCACGATGTACTTCCTCAATCATTTTATCTATTCCTAAGTGAGGGAAAAAAAAAAAAAAAGAGTATTCTTGTTAGGTGTTGGGCTGCTAACAAAAAATTATTTTAAGAAAAATAAAGTATTAATCTTCTTTTACACCTTGCTTTTTTGTTTGTTTGTTTAACTTAATATTATGTTTTATCCATATGACATATTTGGCTTCATTCATTTTTATTATTATTCTGTAACCCACTGAATGATTACAAGAGGGCTTCAGAAAGTTTGTTGGGAAATTCCATGATATTTTCATGCCATTTTATCATGAACTTTTTGAAGCTCCCTCATCTACTTCAGTTTAGTTATAAATTACCCTACTATATTTTGGGGTTTTTAAATATTGTAAACAGTGTGTCAGGTGACATTCTTCTAAAAGCCTCCTATGCACATATGGAAAAGTTTTTCTAGGGCACTTAACCAGAAATAAAACTGCCGGGTAATAAGGGAGTGTGCATCTTCGGCTTTACTGACCACTTCCTAGCTGTTCTTCAAAATGACTGTAAAAATCTCTTTCAGTTTTATATAAGGTTTTTTTCTATTTTTCTTTGCATCGTTGCTAATACTTGGTACAGTCAGATATGTTACTTTTTACCAGCTTCATGAATATAAAATATCTCATTTTAGTTTGTGTTTCTCTGATTTCTAGATTAAGCATTTTTTCCATATGTTTTTCAGTTATTTGAAATCTTTCCCCTGTAAACTGCTTATTTTAAAGCTTCTGCCTCATTTTTTCTTGAGTTGCTTGTCCTTTTCTTATTGATTTGGGGGAGGGGGTGTGCTTATATGAGAGGGCTTCAAAAAGTTTGTTGGAAAATTCTATTATCTTTAATTCAATTTTTCCACAAACTTTTTGAAAATCCCTCATATATTCTGAAAAACAAATATTGTATTGGATTGTGAATACTTTCTCCTAATCTATGGCTATCTTTTAATTTTGTTCACACTAGTTTATTATTATTATTATTATATGGTAAAAGTATATATAATACAACATTTACCAGTTCAACATTTTTTATATATATAATTAAGCAACAATGACCTTAGCTATATGCATTCATTGCCAAATTTTCCATCACCATTAACAGACACCCAATAGTTCCTAAACAATGATTCCTTGTTTCCCTCTCCCTGACACTGTTGTTGTTAAGTGCCGTGGAGTCAGTTCCAACTCATAGCAACCCTGTACAGGGCTTCCAAGGAGTGGCTGGTGGGTTTTAACCTCTAACCTTGTGGTTAGCAATACAGTGTTTATCTTATGGTGGCACACCAGGATTCCCTTAACAGGTCACAAATACAGGATCAGAAAATGCTCAGGGCACAGTTGTCCCAGTCAGCTGCTGATAAATTTACACTAGACACACTACTCCACCATATGCCTCAGCCTGAAGGGACTTGACTCTAGCTCTGTGGGTCAGCAAACCTAGCTCCCCCACTTAAGTGCCTGGAGCATCTCACTCTCCAAGTTAGCTTCCTGCCCAAAGTTACTCAGCTTTACTTGCTCCACAACTGTGTGGATCATGACAAGCTATGAACAATATTGCAGAAAATGAGTATTCTGGAACACTTAATTGTGCTCCTGAGGAACCTGTACGTAGTCCAAGAAGCAGCTGTTCAAACAGAACAAGGAGACACTGAATGGTTTAAAATCAGGAAAGGTGTGTGCCAGGGTTGTATTCTTTCACCAGATGTATTCAATCTGTATGCTGAGCAAATAATCCAACAAGCCGATTATATGAAGAAGAAAATGTCATCAAGATTGGAGGAAGACTGATTAACAGTCTGTGATATGAAGATGATACGCTCTTGCTTGCTGAAAGCGAAGAGGATTTAAAGTACTTACTGATGAAGCTTCAAGACCACAGTCTTTGGTATGATTTGCAATTCAGTGTAAAGAAAACAAAAATCCTCACCAATTAGACCAAAACAAAAATCCTCACTATTAGACCAATAAATAATATGATAAACGGAGAAAAGATTGAAGTTGTCAAAGACTTCATTTTATTTGGATCCACCATCAACACTCATGGAAACAGCAGTAAAGAAAGCCAATGACATATTTGCTTTAGGCAAATCAGCTGCACAAAATCTCCTTATGGTACTCAAGAGCAAAGATGTCAGATTGAGGACTAAAGTGTGTGCCTGACCCAAGTCATCGATTTTCATTAGCCTCATATGCATGTGAAAGTTGGATAATGAATAAGGAAGACACTAGAAGAACTGATGTTATGGTGTTGGAGAAAAATATTAAAGGTACCATGGCCTGCCAGAAGAACAAACAAATCCGTTTTGGATGAAGTACAACCAGAATGCTCCTTGGAAGCCAAAATGACTAGATTTCATCTCTCATACTTTGGACATGTTATCAGAAGGGACCAGTCCCTGGAGAAGGACATCATCTGTGGTAAAGTGGAGGGACAGAGAAAAAGAGCAAGACCCCCAATGAGATGGATTGGCACAGTGACAGCAACAATAGGTTCAAACATTGCAATACTTGTGAAGATGGCACAGGAACAGCTGGGGTTTCATTTTATTGCACACAGGGTCGCTATGGGTCAGAACCGACTTGACAGCACCTAGCAACGAACAGCAACAACAATGCATTGTGTTGCAATTGTTGGTTTACTAATGTGCCCCTCACTTGATTCTAGTCTCTATAAATTCAGGACCACCAGGTAGATCGAAAATACCAAGTAAATATTAGAATAAATGTATTCTGTAGATTATTGTTGTTGTTAGGTGCTGTCTAATGGGTTCCGACTCATAGCAACTTTATGCACAACAGAATGAAACACTGCCCACTCCTGTGCCATCTTCACAATTGTTACGTTTCAACCCGTTGCTGCTGCCACTGTGTCAATACCTTTCTTTGAGGGTCTTCCTCTTTCTCACTGACCCTCCACTTTACCAAGCATGATGTCCTTCTTTGTGATAATATGTCTGAAGTATGAGAGAGATAACTCACCATCCTGGCTTCTAAGGAATATTTCTTCCAACGTGGATGTTTGTTCTGTCAGTTTATGGTACTTTTAATATTATTCCCTAACACCATAATTCGAATACATTGATTCTTCTATGATTTTTCTTATTCATTGTCCAATTTCACATGTATATGAGGCTATTGAAAATACCATGGCTTGGGTCAGGCACACCTTAGTTCTCAAACTTACATCTTTGCTCTTGAATACTTTAAAGTGGTTTTCTTCAGCAGATTTGCCTAATGTAATACCTTGTTTGGTTTCCTGACTTCTGCTTCCATGAATGTTGATAGTGGATCCAAGCAGAATAAGTCTTTGACACTTCAGTATTTCCTTTATTTATCACGGTGCTATTTATTGATCCAGTTATGAGAATTTTTGTTTTCATGACATCCATGTGGTCTTTAATTTTCATCAGTAAAATATTTTAAGTCCTCTTCTCTTTCAACAAGCAAGGTTGTATCATCTGCATATCACAGGTTATTAATGAGTCTCTCTAATCTTCTGTTCCCTATAGGTTCTTCTTCATATAATCCAGCTTCTCAGATTATTTGCAGTATCGTCCTTAAAAAACATGACATTCAAGATTCTAATTAGCTTAGTCCATACTGACTTTCTAAGTTCATTTTCTGCTTCCTTGTACTGTAGGCTACAGCCAAAGTGGGCTACTTGAACACATTCTGGTTTTTGGTTTCTGTCTCTGCAATCTCTTCATTTTAGACAGCTCATCCTCCCATTCTTTGCTTGTTAAAATCCTTTTTTCTTCTTCACAATCTCCTCCCTTCTCTATGCCTACACAGCACATTTTGCATATTTTCTGTAAGCTTTCTTGCCATTCTGCCCCAAAATGAAAAAACTTGTGCCATTGAGTCTGTTCCGACTCATAGTGGCCCTGTGTATAGGATTTCTGAGGAGCAGGTGGTGGATTTGAACTACTGACCTTGTGGTTCTAACTGACCTTGAGGTCCAGTGCTTATTCTATAGAACCGCACCAGGACTCTTAGTATAATGCCGTGTATATTATTGATGCTTAATAAAGTACTATTGAAATGAATTTTAAGAGTAAAACCTGCCTTCTCATGTTCCAAAGGCCCTCTTACTCTTTCAATTGTTATTTCCTTCCCTCTACTGGTTTGGCGCTGTAGGGTAAGTGCTCAACCATAAGGTCATCATTTCAAACTCACCAGTTGCTGCTCAGAAACCCTTTACAGAGTTGCTATGAGTTGGAACCAACTCATTGATAACTTAACAACAACAATCATGACAGTGTAGCTGAGTACTGGACTGCTAACTGCAAGGTTGGTGGTTCAAATTCACCAGCTGCTTCTCAAAAACCCTTTACAGGGTTGCTATGAGTCAGAACTGACTCCACAGTACTTAACAACAACAATCGTGACAATGTAGATTAGTACTAGACTGCTAACCACAAGGTCTGTAGTTCAAACCCACCAGTCACTCCTCAGAAACTTTATATAGGGTTGCTATGAGTCAGAATTGACTCCATGGCACTTAGCAACAACAATAACTTGTGGACTGAGCCCTGATGTGGTGCTGTAGGATAAACACTGGACTAGTAACTGCAAGATCAGTAGTTCAAACCCATCAGTCATTCTCTGAAACCCTTTATAAGGTCACTATGAGTCAGAACTGACTCAACGGCACTCAACAAAAACTAATCTGTGGACTGAGACTTGAGTGATGGCCCTTCTGTTCCCTCTAGGTGGCCTATGACATGGGGGATTACTACCATGCCATTCCATGGCTGGAGGAGGCTGCCAGTCTCTTCCGAGGATCTTATGGAGAGTGGAACACCGAGGATGAGGCCAGTCTAGAGGACACCTTGGATCACTTGGCTTTTGCCTATTTCCAGGTAAGGGAGTCAATGAGGCTCAGTGTTGTCATCACAATTGTAATGCTTTCTGCTTTTCAATTTTCTAAGCATTTTCGTGTCTTTCTTTTTCCCACAAAACAAAAGGTGAGTTAAGCAGGGCTATCCCCTCATCTTAAACTGCTCTTCCTCCCTTTCTCTATTTGTTGAAATGCTTTAACAGAAGACCCATTTTAGAGGCTCCTTTTCCATGAAGCTATTTGAGCCCACCAGCTGTTCTGAGGAAGAAAGATGAAACTTTCTGCTCCTGCAAAGATTTACAGCCTCAGAAATAGGGTCACTATGAGTTGGAACCAACTTGACAGTATGTAACAACATTTCATCATTTCCTTATCATATATGGAGTCTTGGGGTGGTGCGGTGGGTTAATGCTCTGGATTGCAAAGTCAGTTTGAACTGCATGGTCGGCGGTTCAAGCTCCCCAGCCACTCCCCAGAAACCCTGTGCAGGGCTGCTATGGGTCGGAACTGACTCGATGCCACTTAGCAACAACAATATCACATATGAATAAATTGAATCTCCAGAAGATTTTCTGCTTATCATAAAGTTCACAGAGCTGGAATTAGAATCCATGTCTGTCTGACATTAAGTCTTTTTACAATGCACTGCTGTGCTGTTGTTGTCAAATGCCTCGAGTTGGTTCTGACTCATAGCAATCCTGAACTGCTGACCTTGCAGTTCAAACTATAGTTCAAGCCTACAGTGCCATACCAAGATTCCGACTACTTTAAAATGATTATCTCCCAGATAGAAGACAGTTTCTCACTTCTAGCAGTAATAGCTGCAGCCACAAATATTGAATGGGTTAGTAGTAAATGTTGTTGTTACATGCCGTTGAGTCAGTTCCGACCCATAGCGACCCTGTATAGGGTTTCTGAGGAGTGGCTGGTGAGCTTGAACTGCCAACCTTGTGGATCAGACCAACTTTGCAGTCCAGCACATTAACCTGCAGTAAATGTAGATCATATTAAAATGGTGAAAACTTTCAATAGCTCATAACTCTTCTCAGATATTATGCCATGATACTGTCAATGACCAATGAAGTTTGATATTATTCTCTCCCATCAGCAGTTGGGAGTCCTGGTATGACATCATAGGATAAACACTTGAACTCAAGGTTGGTTTGAACGGCAAGATTGGTGCTTCAAACTCATCTGCTTCTCAGAAACCCTATATGGGTCACTGAGTCAGAACAGACTTGATGACACTTAACAACAACAACATAAGCAATCGAGTCTAATTGTAAAAGGATTAGTGGAGTACTGTCACATCGGTTCCTCCTTGAGGTGTTATTTTTTCTTGGCATTGTTGAAACGTGTCACACGGAACCTCAGTTCCTAAATATGGGCCTAGCCCTCCTTTCGTATATGCAGTTCATATCATTCCCACCTGAATTGTACAGTCTGTAAAAGTAGGCTGAAAAATTGCCATGGAGCCAATCCCTGGCTCCCAAACTGAATAAACCACGTCTGTCCCTGACATTCCTTATTCCTCCCTTCTTTTCCTAAGTAAAGGGAGGAGAGTTAGGACGCTAACCCATGTATTGCTGTCAAAACAGAATCATTCTTAGTGCAGCAAATGGTTCTGTTCCTGGTAAGTGAATCTTGGTGAGAAAACTTTCCAGGGTGCTCTTCCTAACATTCTTTCTCAGTTACTACATGTTGAAACTGAGGTAGGACCACTATAACATCACAAAGAGGGGTGAGAAGTAATTGAACTTTAATTAAAGGAAGAAAATGGTGAAATGACATGGAGAGAGACTCAGAGAAGACAAACTAAAACAGATTACCCTGAAAGATGGGGTTTTAAATACAGTATTGATTCTTTCTTTGTGTTTTGTTTTTCCTAACTCTAATGACATAGCCTTTTTCCCTACCACCAATAGACTCCCTTTCCACAATAGAGCTTTTGTCTGGTGAAATTCTACTTGTCTTACATGCCACAGCTCAAATGTCACAGACTTTCTGAAGTCTTTCTTAATTCTCCTCAGACTCCCCACACTTTTTCTCCTCGTACAGCACTTTCTTTTTCTTACAGTAATAGAAGACAAAGGTGTTGTCTTGTAGGTGATTTATAGTCCCTTTTTTACTCCAGTCAATTAGGAGTAGACATCCCTCCAGCACCCGCTCCTCAGAAACCCTATATAGATTCACTACACTGAACAACAACATACAGTACATTATATAAAATATATATTTTGTATAATGTAAGGTTCATGGAGGGATGTCGTCTTGTTGTTGAGTGCTGTCGAGTTGGTTCCGACTCATAGTGACTCTGTATAAGGTTTCTGGGGAATGACTGGTGAGCTTGAACCACCATCCTCGCAATTCAAACTGACTTTGTAGTCCAGCACATTATCCTGCAGTACCACACCAGGACTCCATAAATATATTGTATATTTCCATTTAAAAAACGATTTCAGTAATTGCTAATAATGAGAGACAGTGCAGGGTAGTGGTTGAACCATAGTATCTAGAGTTAGAACAGGGTTTAAAGTCTGTGAAAACTTGGGAAATTTTAGTTAATCTCCCTGGGCCTGGCCTCATTTTATCCGAGAAAGGGAAATGATAATGATACTTACCTTAAAGTTCTGTTGTGAGGATTAAATGAACTATTACACATAAAGTCCTATACACAATGTCTGAGATGTAATATGCACTCAATAATGTAAGCCATTACTATTGTGGTGTAACTACAAATGTGTTGTGGTTGTGGATAATTACCGTAGAGTCGGTTCCGACTCATAGTGACCCTATCTACTGTTTTTGAGGAACAGCTGGTAGGTTTGAACAGCTGACCCTGTACTTTATGATCCTACAGTGCCACACCAGGAATCTTACACTATAAATATATGTGTCCCTTTTTTAATTGATAATAATTTCTATATTTCCAAAGAAATTTAAGTGGGACATCAAAAGTAATTCTAACCTTGGTTTGGTAAAATGTTTTATGACTAGGCCCTTGATTTTAAAAAAGATATAAGATCATATTTTAATTCTCTTCATCTTACAAAGACATATGAAGAAGCTATTAAAAAAATAATAAATTGCCAGATTCTGCGTCGTTCTACTCTGGAGAGTGGAACTGAGCTCCAGAAGGTCTCCAATGGCTGTGATCTTTATGAAATTAGATTGCCAGGTCTTCTTCCAGAGTGCTGCTGGGTGGATTTGAACTACCAACCTTTCAGTTAACAGGTGAATGCAATCAGTTTGTACCATTCAATGACTCTGAAGAAGCTATAATTTTGAGTTTATAGATGATATTATAGATGAACTATTCTTCTGTTAAATATTGTTGTTGGTAAGTGTCATTGAGTCAGTTCTGACTCTTAACAGAACAGACAATTCACGTTATTAAATAATTAGAAACAACCCACATGCCTCACCATAGTGGAATGGCTAGGCCATCTATGATGGAGCTTCTGGAAGGAGTAAAATGCAGTCATTAAAAACTATCTATACTGATAATAATGTAGAATGAAATATTTGGGATTTGAAAAATATAATTATAAAAATAATTTTTTTAAGTTTATATAAAGTAGAATTATAACTATGTAAAGACTACAATTTCCCAGCGTGCTTGTAGTGCCTGGATTTCAGTGGAGTAATTTCTCATATTTTTTATAATGTGCTTATTACTTTATCATTTAAATGAATTTCTTAAAATATGCAAAAATAAAATCATTGAAAAGAAATGCAGGTCTGTCTGCTAATCACCATTCCCTGGCATAGCAGCCCATCTATACCGGATTCTGCTCCCCAAATTTGTCTGGAAAGCCACTGTTTACCTTCGAGCACAGATTGCTGAGGATTGAATGGCTGCTGGGAGAGGTAATTACTGTGCCGTGGGCGATGTTCCCAGTTTAGTTCTTCCTTCACCTCACTCCCACTAGCTTTGTAGACTCAAGGAAGTATTGAGCCTGGAGAAGAAATTATATTCTTACTAGAGTTTTTATAGTTCCCTGTTAGGCTTAATAATAAAATGTAACAAAACCACACCACCCTGCAATTACATGGTTTTGCATGCTTTAAGATTTGAAGGCACTTTACGAAAGTTTATTTACTTTTCTACCTTCCAAGGTAAGGGTTGGCCATAAGTCATTTGTAAATAGGAGACTGAGAAGATCTGATTTACATGAGGGTCACACATAAATTAGTAGCAAATCCTGGACTGAAACAAAAAGCCTCTAAATTTCTAGTCTACTGCTCATTTCAATTAGTCTTATTATCTACTTTTGGTAAGAATATTTTACAAAATTATTATTAATCCACTTAATGGTTTGGTCAGGAGATATCCTCATTGCCATTAACTATTTCTTTTCCTTTCCCATATTTTATAGGCAGGAAATGTTTCGAACGCCCTCAGCCTCTCCCGAGAGTTTCTTCTCTACAGTACGTAACGATAAAGATAAACCAAAGGTCTGATTTACAGGAAAATCCCTTCTGCCTCTGGTCTTTGGTCCCTGCAAACAAAATGTCAACATCGATTTTTATGTTTCTAATGTCATGATGCAGTAGTGGTTATGAAGCAAGCTGCGAACCTCAAGGTCAGCAGTTCAAAACTACCAGCTGTTCCACAAGAGAAATGTGAGGCTTTCTGCTCCCGTACAGATTTACAGCCTCGGAAACCCTATACAGGGTTGCTATGAGTCAGAACCGACTCCACGGCACATAACCAACAAACCAACCAATGTCGTGATGCAAGGCGTGTTGCAGATTTTGGATTAAATCTTACTTACATGTCGGCGGTTCCAGCTCACCAGCTGCTCTTCGGAAACCCTATACCGGGTCACTATGGGTGGGAATCGACTCGACGGCACTTAACAACAGCAGCAACCTGCGGATCAGTGCATCAGGGTGAAATTTTTAAGTTAGAAAATGTGAAGAAGATGCTATTAAGCTGTCCCTTTCCTCTGACACCCCAAGCCAGTTGTATATCAGTGATGCTTCCATGAGGAACAAGGCCAGGAATGGGAGCCAGTTTCTTCTGAGACATTTCAAAGACCCAGGTTTTTTAAATAGACCTGGGAATGTATCAAATCAATGAGCGCTGTGTATACGAGAAGGAGAGAGACTCAGCAGAACTATTCTGTTGACAGAGAGATACTAATTCTTCCCTTTCAACCTGCCCTCACTGTGCCATGTATGTTTCCTGCCTGGTTAGCTGTAGATTTCAGCTTCAGTTCCCTTGAGAGAGGCCCCTCTAACAACACAGAGTTCAACAGGAGGGATACTTTGACTGGCTCAACTCACTGCTGTTGTTGTTGCTAAGTGCCGTCCAGTCGGTTCTGACCCATAACGACCCTGTATAGGGCTTCCGAGGGGTAGCTGGTGAGCTTGAACCACTGACCTTGTGGTTCAAATCAACTTTGCAGTACAACACATTAATTCACAGCACCACAAAAGACTAGGTATCCCTTTAACAAGGTATTTCAGATACTAAAACCATACAAAGTCACTACTGTTATTTTTTAATATTTATAAAATATTTTATGTAGAACTTTACAATTGTACTTCTTCACAACTTTTTTTTATTGTAGTAAAGTATACATAACAAAACATTTGCCATTTCAGTCATTTTACGAGTACTATTCAGTGACATTGGAGTCCTGGTGTGGTGCTGTGAGATAAAGCACAGGACCGAAAGGTTGGTTTAAACCACAAGGTCAGCAGTTCAAACTCACCAGCCACTCCATGGAAACCCTATATTGGGTGGCTGTGAGTTGGAACCAACTCAATGGACTTTAACAACAACATTCAGTGACATTTGTCACCATGTTGTGCAGCCATCACCTTTACCTGTTTCCCTTTTTTTCCTCACCCATAACACTATTCTTTAAGCAACAGTTCACCATCCACCACCCAAAGTCTACCCTGGTAACCACTAGTAAACTTTGGTCTCTATGCATTTGCTTGCTCCAGATAACTCATGTAAGTAGGATTATGCAGTATTTGTCCTTTATGTTTGACATTGCACTCATCTGAACATTATCAAGGTTCATCCATGTCATTCCATATATCAGAACTTTGTTTCCCTTTATTGGCGAGTAACATCCTATTGTAGGGGTATATACCACATGTTGTTTTAATATATTTTTAATGAATCCATTTAATAACACCATTCCTTTCTGATAATTTGTCAAACAGTCCTGGTGTGGCATTGTAGGATAATGCACTGGACCACAAGGTCGGTTTGAACCTCAAGATCGATGGTTCAAACTCACCAGCCGCTCCTTGGAAAACCTATGCAGGAGCCATCAAGGCAAGCAATCAAGTCCTTCAGGACAAACCCCCCTCCAAGACTGAAATTCAAAGGGAACACATGCATAGGCATGTAAGCTTGCTGGTGACCACATTGATTTACTGGTGAGTGGAAGAGGGAGAAAGGCAGCAATGAAGATATGGGCTGAGTTCAGCCACATTCCATAGACTCCCATTGACCTGGAGATGAGAGAGAGAAGAAAGGCTGGTTGATCCAAAGTGTGGTGAGACCTGGGGACTCCTGAGTTCATGGATAGGGACATAGCCACAGAGGGCCAGATCTGAGAGTGAAGCATCCAGCTGATATGAAATGAGGAGAGACACACAAGAATGCACAAAGTTTCAGATAGTTCCCATTGGACTTAGCCTCGATGGCTTGATAATCAGAACTCGACTAAAGGAAAAAAAATTTTTTTTGATAAAGGAAATGAGTGTAAATTGCTACAATTTGATGAACTTGACCTATATTTACGGATGTAGTAGCTCAAAATACCAACAGAGAGGGAAGGAGTCTTCACATCAAGTATCAATGCTATCCCCTCTGTACACAGGGTAGATAAGGAGGGACAACTTAGACACTGGCTACCTAAAATGACTGGCTACAAGTTTTCAAGAGGAAGTTTAGTTTAAGAGTGTGTGGGGGAAGATAGAGTCCCCACTGAATAGTTTTTATCTTGGCTAGATGGGTCTGGTTAAAAGAGATGGGGATAAGATTCTTATGATTCAATAGTGAGTAATTGTTATCATGACTGTTACAGCGACTGTCACAACTGTAAAGGTAGAAGTTTTGTAACAAAAATGGGTGAGTGGTTAATCTTACAGTCCAGAAACAGAGGACCCTAGGACCATCAAAAGAGAAGAGCACAAGCGGAATGCAGGACCCTGTCCAGAGAAGCAGTGACACTAGAGATGGAGGCAGAGATGAGGACATGGAGAGAGGGAGCAACTGAGGACTCTAGATTCATGAAAAGAGAGGGACTGGGTGCTGGCGGCCAGGAGGCAGGCTTGCAGAAAGTGTCTTTTGGTGGTGTAAATTATTATATATTCCTGAGTGTTTTTGTGTACATCTCCCCACAATCCTCCCCTTCCCTCCACGTCCCCCAACAACAAAAAAAGGAAAAACTAAGGGAATGGAAGCAAATACTGTTGAATGTTGAAAACCTACACAGGGTTGTTAGGAGTCAGAACCAACTTGATGGCACTTAACAACAACAGGATTAGAAGGTAGATATATGGTATGAAAAAATGTGAGTAGTTAGAGGTAAAGGCAAATTTATGACACTGATCTTTCTATTTCTTTGTGCTTGATCTATTAAAATCCCCGTGACTCCCAAAAAACCAAAATTTTGTGCTATTATATATGTGTGGCACCGCAGAATAAACACTCTACCTCAAGGCCGTTTGAACCACAAGGTCGGTGGTTCAAACTCACCAGCTGCTCCTCAGAAACCCTCAGGGTTGCTTTGAGTCGGAACTGACTTGATGGCACTTAACAACAATAACATAGGTAAATAAGCAGTTGTTGTTAGGTACTGTTGAGCTGTTTCAGGTTCAAGCAACCCTGTGTACAACAGAACAACACTCCGCCTGGCCCTACACCGTCCCCACAACCGTTAGCATGTGGGAGCCCATTTTGCAGTCACTTTATCAATTCATCTTAGTGAGGATTTTTCTCTTTTTTTCACTGGCCTTTACCAAGCATGATGTCCTTCTCCTGATAAAAGTACGTGAGATGAAGTCTCTCCATCCTCACCTCCAAGGAGCATTCTGGCTGTACTTTTCCCAAGACAAATTTGTTCGTTTTTCTGACAGTCCATGGTATATTCAATATTCTTTGCAAGTAGGTTATGGCAAATTAAGATTCCTGAGTTCATTTTTGGCTTTGCAATATTTTCATTTGTGCTTTGGGATCATCATTTCCATTTTCCAGAACTTTACTCCTCTGGTTAAGAAGGATGGTAATTTTGGGTACTCTTTTCCTCCCTTGGCAGGGTGGTGGTGGCTAGAGCACACTGAGCTCCTCGAAGAAAGGTGTTTGGGGAGTATTAGAACAATTCAGTACCTTCTTCTGAGATGCACTTAGAGCCATGCACTTAGACACCGGCAGCCCATGGGGCATCTTGCGGCCTAAGTGGGCACAAATAAGATACAATTTCTCAGGTTTCCCTGGGACACTGTAGGCTAGAACCAAAAAATCTAGACCCACTTCATCACATATTGGTCTGCTTTGTGTCAAGACCATTTAGTTATGTTGAAGGACTTAGTGGAATTGAGAATGTAATAGCCTTCTTATTCTCCAGAAAAGAAGAGGTTGGGTCTCTCTGCTTTGGTTCTCTGGACTTCTTTTTCATAACACTTACTTATCATATTCTGTTGTGCTTATTCTTACTGTTAAGAGCCATTGAGTCAGTTCCAACTCATGGCAACACTGTATAGGGTTTCCAAGGAGCAGCAGGTGGATTTGAACCATCATTGACCTTGTGGTTAGCAGTCCAGTGCTTATCCTACAGTGCCACATCAGGAGGCTATGTTTTGTTGTATTAGTTATATAATATCTCTTTTCCCCATTAGATTCTGAACTCTAGGCGATAAGCCTCTATCATACTATCTGGGATATAGAACATATTTATTGAAGGGTTTTTAAATGGGTGATTGAATGAATGAGTGAATAAGGCCTCTTCCCTATATTTAAAACTGACCATCCTACTTTCCTAGAGTAGCCATCTCCATGAGCCCTTGGTATAAGAAAAGTCCTTTTGCACCTTCAGATCCACCAGGTCCAACTCAATCACTTTTTTTAAATTACAGGTACACTTGTGGTATTGTGCACTGACACAAGCAGTTATTCAGTGTGTCCAGTTGCCAGGTCTGTGTAAACAGTGAAGCTGTAGGAACTCTTGTCAATGTTTGTTAATGTGTGTTATTCCCAGTTATGATTTCTCCCAGGTCCAGATAATAAGAGGATGACCAGGAATGTCTTGAAATATGAAAGGCTCCTGGCAGAGAGCCCCAAACGAATGGTAGCTGAAGCTGTCATCCAGAGGCCCAATGTTCCCCACCTGCAGACCAGGGACACCTATGAGGGATTATGTCAGACCCTAGGTTCCCAGGTAGGATTCTTTAGAACAAGGGGACAGACTTGGTTAAAACATGAGGAGGTAGAATTGGGAAAATGTGTATGTATGTTTATGGAGGGCTGATGCCTTAAAAAAATAAAGCTCACTTGAATAGCATCAGAATGACCGCATTCGGTTTCTCTGACAGTCCATTTTTCATGCCATAGTTCCCTAAATTGCTTTCTGCTTCTAGACACTTCTTCTCTTACTGAGTCTGCTCTTCCCCTTCCAGCCCATTCACTATCAGATCCCTAGCCTCTACTGCTCCTACGAGACCAACTCGAGCCCCTACCTGCTTCTCCAGCCTGTCCGGAAGGAGGTCATCCACCTGAAGCCCTACGTTGCCCTCTACCACGACTTTGTCAGTGACTTGGAGGCTCAGAAAATTAGGGATCTTGCAGAACCGTGGGTGAGTGCTCACAGAGTCTTCCAAGAACTTTCCTGTGTGTTTTCACATGCCTGGTATGGGAGAACAACAGCCTATACACTTAGACACCTCATTAGTCCAGGCTCTCAACATGCCAACATTCCATATGATTGATGACAAGAATAAAAGGGATGACAGGAGCAAGAGTGAAATTCCAGTGCTGACACACAGAATGGCAGAGTGGAAAAATGAGCTGGTAAGCTTCATTATTTTGTTGAAGAGGAACCTGAGGCCCAGAGAGGGGACCAGCTGGATTAAGGCCGCATATTTAGCTAGTGGTAGAGCCACAGATGGAACATAGAGGTATGTTGATTGATGCTCTGCCATCCAACCTTCTTAGATCAGTCAACTAAGCTCAGACATGCTTGGTAACAAGTGACCCTAAAACCTCAGCAGCAACAACAGTAAAGGTGTGTTTCTTTCTCACAACAAATATCTGTCTTGTTCTACATTCTCTTCCCTTTGGGACCCAGCCTGATATAGCAATCTTCATTTGGAACAGTGCCAAGTTCAGGGGAGCAGAGAGGAAAGACAGAGATGGCAAATCATGAGCTGGCTCTTCTATCTTCCTCTTAAAAGTGCCAAATATTACTTCAGCCCACATTTCATTGGTCAGAGGATATCATATGGCCTTTACTGCAATCAACAGGGACAATGTATTGAGTTCTTCCACAGAGAAGGCAGTGTAAGTCACCAAGCTAAACTGGGTATCAGTGGAGAAGGGATGTTTGATCGTCCCCCAGGAAGGATAGTGCATTTTTAGAAAAACAAACATAGTCTATCTCACCACCAGAAGCATGCTGCCTCTTACAAAATGTCACTGAATGTTGTCCCTGACTTCTTTTTCTAAGTGCTGTGGGGGAGAAGTCAGAGGTATTTACTGCCTGTTCATCTAGGCATCCACCCAGGCATTCATCAGCATGTATACAGAGTTACCCTAGCCATGCCGGGGAGGCAGTGGGAGATTTAAACAGGAGAGTGCTGTGAGCAGGCCTGTGGGCTTTAAAGCAGTCTGACAGGAGAAGAGCAGCAATACTCATCTAAAAGCCGCTCTCCGTGAAGTCTAGAATCTTTGTACTGAAGATGTTAGATATGATGACACTTCACTGGTGACCTGGAACAATGTGTTTGCAAGAGCTTCAGTTTTTCCAGGAGCTAGCAGTAGTATTTGGCCACTGCTGTTTTTCCTTAGAACAACTCCGTTGCCATGAGAACAGGAGAGACAGACCATGCAGAGATGGAGATTTAATCCCGCATGGACAGGTCATCCATTTGGCATGCATAGACCTCACCCTACTCCCTTTCCCTAGAATCCTCTCACTGGAGTTGTTGATCCTGTCTGATCTCTGCCAGGAGTAAGACTGGGACTTCTATGGTAGTGACTCCACTGTGGGAACTCAGCTCAGACCCTCAGTGGTTTGTGTTAATGTATCTGAGCGCCTTCCTCCTGCCAAGCCTTAACCTTATGGACTAACAGAGCTTTGTAATTCAAAATCACTTCATTTAAAAGTTACAGTGGACCCTTGAGCAACCTAGGGGTAGTGAGGCACTGACCCCTACCCAGTGTGTAATTTATAGTTAACCCTTGAACAGCATGTTTGAAGGGCACGGGCCCCCTCTCCAGAAACTGCTCTCCAGTTTTGCTCACATGGAGACAATTAGTGTCAAACAGTGTTTTAAGCAGATTTTTGCAACACTTGAGCTCACCACAATAGCAGCAGGAAAAAAAGTCCACACATAAGTGGGCCTGCGTAGTTCAAACCCATGCCAACTAATTTAAATGCTAACATCCAGACATGTAAAACAAAAAGGACAGTCAGGTAAATTAGGAATTCCAAACTTTATCCCCCGACAATCAAGGCAGTTATAGATGTTGATTCTTGATGTGGTTAGTGCCAGTGCTATCAAGTCAGCTCTGACTCATCGTGACCCTGTATAGGGTTTCATGGAGTGACGGGTGAGTTTGAACCCCTGACCTTGTAGTTCAAACTGACTTTGCAGTCCAGTGCTTATTCTGTAGCGCTACATCAGGTCTTCTGATTCTTTGTAAGGCAGGGCTTTTGCCAGATTTGTTTAGAAGGAGCAGGCTGCCTCTGACGGTTGAAAATAACCTTAAGTAACTGAAGGTTATTTTCAACTTAGATTTTTGGTCGCTGTTGCTTTTCATTTTTAAGATTTATGTTGTTAAGTGCTATAAATTTGTAATGACTTATAACTACCCTGTACTGGGTTTCTGAGGAGAGGCTGGGTGGTGTATTTGAACCACTGACCTTGCAGTTAGCAGTCCAGTGCTTATCCCTCAGTGCCACACCAGGACTCTTTCAAGATTCATGTTGTTGTTAAGTGCTGTGAGTCGGTTCCAACTCATGGCAACTCTGAATGGGTTTGAACCACCAACCTCACAGTTAGCAGTCTAGTGTGCTTATCCTACAGTGCCACACCAGAACACCATCAAGATTCTTGTTGTTGGCATGAAGTGATAGAGCAGTTGAGAACTCTAGACTCATGGAAAGAAAAAGGCTATGTGCTGGCAGCCAGGAGGCAGGCTTCCAGAATGTGCCCTTTGGTTGTTTAAACAATTATATATCCCTGCAAGGGTTTTTTGTACATTTAAATAATAAAAAAGAGGGTTTTGTTTAAAAAAAAAAGATTCATGTTGTTGTTGCTAGGTGTCATCGAGTCGGCACCGACCCATAGCGACCTTATGCACAGCAGAAGGAAACACTGCCCGATCCTGGGCCAACCTCACTACTGTTGCCACACTTGAGTCCATTCATTGATGCTGCCACTTGGCCAATCCATCTCACTGGGGGTCTTCCTCTTTTTCTCTGACCCTCCACCTTACCAAACATGATATCCTTCTCCAGCGACTGCTCCCCCCTGACAATATGTCCAGAGTATGAGAGACGAAGTTTGGCCATCTTGGCCTCCAAGGAGCACTCTGGCTGCACTTCTTCCAACACAGACCTGTTGGTTCTTTTGGCAGCCCATGGCACTTTCAATATTCTCCTCCAACACTATAACTCAAAAGCATCAATTCTTCTACGGTCTTCCTTATTCACTGTCCAGCTTTCGCATGCATATGAGGTTATTGAAAATACCATGGCTTGGGTTAGGTGTACCTTAGTCCTCAAATTCATAGCTATCAGTCAATTAATAACAAAACAAAATATCACAAAAACAACAAAACCCAACCAGTTGCAGTTGAGGTGACTCCAATACATGGTGATTTCATGTTTGTCAGAGAACTGTGCTAATTTTTTCAGCAGACAATCACCAGGCCTTTCTTTCAAGTCACCTCTGGGTGGGTTTGAACCTTCAACCTAGAACATGTTAACTGCACCACCTAGGGACTTCAGTAAATGAGTTGTTGTTAAGTGCCATCAAGTTGGTTCCTACTCATAGTGACCCTATATAGGGCTTCCGAGGAACAGCTGGTTAGCAGTCCAGTGCTTATCCTACAACACCACACCAAGTCTCCAGTAAATGAGAAGCATATGTAAAACCTTTAATGACAGAGGAGATGGCAATCTTCATGCTTAAGAGAGAAGACAAGTCTGTGGAGAAGAAAGAGGCCATTTCCCCTTTGCATAATAACCACTTCAATCTTCCTTGTGTCTTCCACACCAGCTGCAGAGGTCTGTGGTGGCATCCGGTGAAAAGCAGCTACAAGTGGACTACCGCATCAGCAAAAGGTATGGCCACAACTTCCTGCAACACTCTCCTCTAGCCCTCAGTCAGGTCAGCTCAGTCACTCAGCTCCTGCTGGAGATGCCGCTGTTGGTGACCCTTTAATTCTTGTTTCTCTGTTCAATCCTTTAAGAGACAGCAGTTTTCCCTCTCCTCACCCAAGAACCGTTCATAGGTTGTCATATTATCTGAGGATTTAACTTGGGTTAGGGGAAGACTTGAAAAAGCTCCTATGCCCTAAACCAGGACTGCTTTGCCAGAGAATACCGTCTCGTCCACATTTGTGATTTTACTTTAAGTTTCCATTCCCACCTCCTGACTCATATTCAAAGTATGCCTTGCCAATGCTCAGACAGCCAGGATGACTAGACTCTTTGGATATGATGGCTGCTGTAGAAGAAGAGATTCAGCTGTGAGTGCCCCAACTTTAATCCTCTTTGATCCTGTCTACCCCACACTACAGTCCTTGGTTTGTACTATAAGAGTAGGGCTGATGATATAGTGTGATGAGGACCCTCCATCAGAACCATGCAAGACAGTGAGGTCAGCATCCTTTGGGAGAAGTTAGACTTCAGTCTGTGGTTAGTTTTCATTGCCTGGCCTCAGACCGCCTTAGAAATGAGGTGGGTGAGGAAATCTGCCATTCAGAATAATTTGGCTTCACTTAGTTGGTCTTTACATTTAAGGACCTTTCATTTTAGGAGTTATTCTCTAAACTTTAGAAAGTCCATATGCCCTCAGCTTCATTGCTCTTCTAGCAATAATGACATTCTAGTGTCAAAATAAGGAGCTCTGGTGGCATAGTGGTTATGAGTCAGGCTGCTAATCTCACAGTCAGCAGTTCAAAGCTACCAGCGGTTCCATGTGAGAAAGATGAGGCTTTCTGCTCTCGTAAAGATTTACAGCCTCGGAAAACCTATGCAGGGTCACTATGAGTTGGAACTGACTCCACGGCACGTAACCACCACCACCACCAGTGTCAAAATGGAAATCCTCATCTTTGGATACATTACCTTTTTTTTTTCCCAATGTTTTATTGTGAATTATATGATAGTTCACATGAGAGAACTCTAGTTTTACATTCATTCCATCGCATATCATTACATTTCATGGTTCCAATCCCCTCCATGCATCATCTCCCAACCAAAGGGCAATATCCTGGAAGCCTGTCCTCTGCACTCCTCGCCCCCCCTCCCCCAGGTCTTCGGCCCACAGTTCCTCTCCCTCTCTGGATCCAAAGTCCCCAGCTGCTCCATCCCTCCATGTCATTGCCCCTGTCTCCATCTCAGGCATCCCTGCTTCTCTGGGTAGGGTCCCACTCTCAGCTCTTCTCCGTTGGTGGTCCCAGAGACCTCCACTTCTAGACTAGAGAAACAGTCGCTCCCTTCCTTGCCACAAAATGTCCACCTTTGCATTTCCAACACTCACAATCTGTCCTGATAACCATTATTCACTACAGTATCGCACGTAACCCATCTGTATTTCATTTCATCAGCTCCACCTAGACAAATTGGATAGTACTCACTGGTGATTCTGGCTTCCTCCATGCCCCCTAGCTCTAGGTTCCCTCTTGAAGGCTTGTAAGCCAGTTACTTCTTGCCTTTGTAGTCCCTCCCTCCCCATTTGGGTATCCAATGTCCAAGTTGCCCCTCTCTGTCTACTCTGTGTGTGGAGTGGGTGGGAATGTTTCCTGCTATAAGGATTTGTCGCCTCTTTTGAGTCACTGCATTTGTATGCATACGAATGCAGTTTGGATACATTACTTTGATGGTATTTTTTTGTTGTATGCCACTGAGCTCACTTCAACTCATAGTGAGGGTTTCCAAGGAGTGGCTGGTAATTTGAACTGCTAACCTTGTGATTAGCAGCCCAGTGCTGATCCCACAGCACCACAAAAGTAAGCATTATTTTCTTCCTTTTGAGAGGAAGTGTACTCTCCTCTTTCCCAACCCCCATCACATTTGGGTTTGGTTCTACCATCACATCTTCAGTGAAACACGTCCTGTTTTAGTTCTCTAGTGCAGCTATAACAAATACCATAAGGGGATGACTATAACAACCAGAAATTTGTTTTCTCAGTTTCGGATAAACCCTGTCTCTGGGGGAAGGTTCTTGTTCGTTTGTTCCCTGGTGATCTTCCTGCGGTGCAACATCTATCTTCTCCATCTCTGCCAGCTCACTTGCTAGTTTCATCTCTCTTAAATGCAAAGACACACCCTACACAAATCCTGTCTCATTAACATAGAAAAGATAACCCATTCCCAAATGGGATTATAGCCACAGGTACAGAGGCTATAATTGTCTAATCATCTTTTTTGACCACAAACTTTCACTATCTACTATCCACAAAATAAAGTCCAGATTACCCTCAGCTTTCTACAACATGCCCCAAGCCTACTTTCTGTTTTCCTTGAGGTTTTTGAAGACAACAGTTTTGTCTTGGATATCTTTGTAAACCTAAGAACATGTAGCAAAGCAAATGTACTCCATACAAGAGAATGAAAGGATGAACAAATTAATCTATGGATTTTTAAAAAATCATGGTCTCCCCAGGAGGGTCACTAGCTTTGCTTGGTGGAACACTTACAGATTTTCCAGAGACTTAAATTCTGATTCCAGATCTTATACTTTGTCAGGGTCTGAACAAGACATCAGGAAAAGAGACTAAACTTTGGTCATTGGCCTTTGACATATCCTGGTTTGTCTTAGAGTAGAGCAGAAGAACAGATGTTCCTGTGCTCAGTGGCACCCGCTAACACATAGCTAACAGAGCATCTTTACACACATAGTCTCATGCAATCTCCACATGTCTGTGAAGTGGATACTACTATCACTCTCATCTGATAGATGAATACAATGACCCTTAGAGAGTCAGATGCCTGACTTAGGATCACACAGACCATCAGGGTCTGAACGTTATTATTTTAAACCCCAAGCTTTTTCCACTGAACCCAGATCCTTCTGTTGCAATACCTGTTAAATATAGCAGTTTTAAAGGCAGGGATTTTGAATGTTTGTATCTTAGTGCCTGGGACTGTGACCCTTCATACTGTAGCCTCAGCAACTAGCATAGAAGGCCTCAGGGACTGTTTTTTGGATGAGTGACATTGTGAATATTGTGATAAGAGTACAGAGTGGAGCGGCGGGTAGACAATATGAGTGATGAGATCATTAGGCATTCATGTCTTTTTCTTTCTTCTCCATTCCTACAATTGACATTCTTCATTCATTCATTTACAACTAACATTTAGTCATTTCTGGCATCAGGGCACTGAACACGAGTCATTGATGCTCCAATCTCTGGTGTGTTCTAGTGCCTGGCTGAAGAACACTGTTGACCCAATGCTGGTGACCCTGGACCACCGCATTGCTGCACTCACAGGCCTTGATATCCAGCCCCCCTATGCAGAATATCTCCAGGTGGTGAACTATGGAATCGGAGGACACTATGAGCCTCACTTCGATCATGCTACGGTAATGATGGAGCTGATGACCAATCTCCTGAGATAGGGAGCTGGGGAATTCTTTACTTCTCTGAGGCAGAGTAAAATCTTAGGACAAATGTTCTTATTCCAGGATGATTGGAAAACCTTGGTTTTAAGTTGATTACTGCTGCCTCATTTCCGTACCTGTCACCATCCACCTATCTAAAATGTGCTAGTGAGGAGAAGGACGTGGCCTCTAACACAGTGCTCTCTCCTCCTCCTTCACCTGGAGACTTCCCAGGGAGGATTCTCCTTCTGGTTACTCTACTTGCCTCATGATCTCAACTGCCCATCTTTGCTGACAGGTATTCAGCAGTTTTTTCCAATTAGGATTAAAAACAGCTCCCCAAACTTTGTCTATAAATTTAACCAAAATTCTATCCAAATTCCAGAAGATTTTTTGAAATCAGAAACTGGCAAGCTGATCTTAAAATGTATGTGGAAATGCAAAGGATCTAGAATAGCCAAAACAATTCTGAAAAAAGAAGAGCAAAATTGGAGGACACATACTACTTACTACCTGATCTCAAAATTTGTTGTTGATGTTGTGTGTTCAGACTCCTAGCAACCCTGTACAGGGTTTCCAAGAGCAGTTGGTGACTTTGAGCTGTTGACCTTATGTTGCAATCCAATGTTTATCCTACAGTACCACACCAGGATCCTCAAAATTTAGTACACCAAAAGGTCAAATCCTTTGCCATTGAGTTGGTTCTGATTCTTAGTGATGCTATTAAGGACAGAGTAGAACCATAGGGTTTCTAAGGCTGCAAATCAGTATAGAAGCAGACAGCCACATCTCTCTCCTAAGGAGCGGCTGGTGGGTTCAAACTGTTAACATTTAGGTTGGTGGTTGAGTAATTTAACCACTGTGCCAACAGGATTCCTTAAACTTATTATGTTGTTGTTGTTGTTGTTAAGTGCTGTCGAGTCGGTTCTGACCCATAGCGACCCTGCATAGGGTTTCTGAGGCTGTAAGTAAATCTTTACTGGAGCAGAAAGCCTCATTTTTCTCCCGCGGAGCAGCTGATAGTTTCGAACTGCTGACCTTGTGGTTCGCAGCCCGATTCGTAACCACTATGTTACCAGAGCTCCCTTAAACTTAGTATAGAGCTACAGTAATCAAAGATGTCTAGTACTGGTGTAAGGATACATATATAGGTCAATGGAACAGAATCGAGAAGTCAGAAATAAATCCTTGTACTTTGGTCAATGATCAATTTTTTTGTTTTGTTTTTGCAGCATAAGGTTTATTCTAAGTGGTTTTTCTATCTGTATATAGGAAGATTTTTGGTTCCAGAAAAAAAAAGGCTGAAGGAATCTAGGTACAATGAGGTTTATCAAGTGAAAAGGAAGGAGAAGTATAGAAGACAAGCTCCTGACAAATTGACAGGATTGATTGAACCTTTTTCTCTGCCTATTATTGAGATCCATGGATAGCATGTCACAAGAAGGTTTCTGCTTCTCCACCCAGCAAGATAGATAGATATTTCCTCCTTGATCTGATGTTTTATTCACTTTCATCTCCAGCCATATATTTTGAAATTCAAATTTAGTAAGCTTGGCTTCAAAAAGAAAATAAAGGTTTTGTAACTTTTGGTGAAAGAAACGTTTCTAGAGTATTAATTTTAGTCAGGGGTTTCTTTAAAGTGACTATTTGGCATCATGGATAAGAAAATCCCAAAACCAAAGCAAAGGATCGCCTATCAATTTCTCTCTTTAGCATCTCTTCCTTTTTGTGACCACGATTTGATTAGAATTTTTGATCACTGATTACCGATGATTAGAATGCAAAGGTTGGAAACAAAGAGAAAGGATCAGTAGTTGGAAAATATGGCCTTGGTGATAGAAATGATGCTAGAGATCACATGATAGAATTTTGCAAAACCAATGACTTTATTCATTATAAATACCTCTTTTAAAACAACATAAAAAATGACTATACACATGGACCTTGCCAGATGGAGTACACAGAAATCAAACTGACTACATCTTTAGAAAAAAAACAGTGGAAAAGCTCCATATCATCAGCCAAAACAAGGCCAGGGGCAGTCTGGAACAGACCATCAATTGCTCATCTGAAAGTTCAGGCTGAAGCTGAAGAAAATTTAAAACAGGTCCATGAAAGCCAAGATATGACCTTGCACATATCTCACCTGAATTTAGAGGTCTCCAGAACAGATATGATGCATTACACACTAATGACTGAAAACCAGAAGAGCTGTGGGATGACATCAAAAACATCATACAGGAAGAAAGCAAAAATTAATTAAGAAGACAAGAAAGAAAAAGCCAAAATGGATTTCAGGAGAGACTCTGAAACTTGCTTTCTAGCGTAGCAATGCTAAAGCATATGGAAGAAATGAGGAGGTAAGAGAGCTGAGCAGAAAATTTCAAGGGGCAGCTCAAGAAGACAAAGTAAAATATTATAATGAAATGTGCAGAGACCTGGAGTTCGAAAACCAAAACGGAAAAACACACTCAGCATTTCCCAAGCTGAAAGTACTGAGGAAGACATTAAGCCTCGACTTGAAATACTTAAGGATACTTTGGGCAAAATATTGAGTGGTGCAGGAAGCATCAAAAGAATATGGAAGGAATACACAGTCACGGTAACAAAAAGAAATGGCCGCTGTTTAACCATTTCAAGAGGTAGGATATGCTCAAGAGCCAATGATCCTGAAGGAAGAAGTCCAAGGTGCACTAAAGGAGGCATTGGCAAAGAACAAGTCTCCAGAAATTGATGGACTACAAATGGAAACGTCCAACAAACTTATGCAGCACCGGAGGCACTCACTCACTCATCTATGCCAAGAAATCTGGAAGACAGCTACCTACCTGGCCAACTGATTTGAAGAGATCCATATTTGTACCCATTCCAAAGAGAGGTGGCCCAACAGAATGTGAAATCATAGGACAATATTATTAATATCACATGCAAGTAAATTTTTGCTAAAAATAATTGAAAAATAGCTCCAACAGTACCTTGACCGGGAACTGCCAGAAATTCAAGCCGGATTCAGACAAAAATGTGGAAGAGGGATATCATTGCTGATGTTGAAGGATCTTGGCTGAAAGCAGAGAATACCAGAGAGTGTTTACCTGTCCTTTATTGACTATGCAAAGGCTTTCAACTGTGTGGATCATAATAAGCTACTGGCAACACTGCGGAAAATGAGTATCCCAGAACACTTAATTGTGCTCATGAGGAACCTGTACATAAACCAAGAGGCAGTTTTTCGAATTGAGCAAGGGGACACTGAAGGGTTTAAATCAGTGTGTGCCAGGGTTGTGATCGTTTCCATATGTATTTAATCTGTATGCAGAGCAAATAATTCCAGAAGTTTGATTATATGAAGAAGAATGTGGCATCAGGATTGGAGAAAGACTCATTAACAACCTGCTATACACAGATATATAAGGAGCTCTGGTAGCGTAGTGGTTACGAATTGGGCTGCTAACCTCAGGGTCAGCAGTTCTAAACTACTAGCTGCTAGTAAATTACTAGACTTAGAAAAAGAAAAAAAGTATAAAGGTTTTAGACGAAAATGTAAAAGGAAATCTTTGTGACCACTTGTTGGGAATATTTCTTAGATCTGACACCAAAGCATAGTCTATAAAATACAAGGTCAACAGTTTGAGCCCACCAGTCACACTGCAGCAGAAAAATGAAGCTTTCTGCTCCTGCAGATTTACAGCCTGAGAAATCCTATGCAGGGTTGCAATGAGTGGTGGGTTACTGACTCAACGGTACTTAACAATAACAACAATAGTAGAAAACATTTTCATATTATATATCTGAGAAAGGACTTATATCCTTAATCTATAAAGAATGCATAGCTCAACTCAGTTCATACCAAGTGTTAGTGAATATGTGGAGCAATTGGAACTCTCATGCACTGCTGGTGGGAATACAAAATGGGTACAACCACTTTGGAAAGCAGTTTGACTGTTTCTTAAAATACACCAAATATAATCCAGCTATTTCACTACTTTCCCAAGAGAAATGGAAATATATGTCCATATAAAAACTGTACATGAATGCTTATAAATTGTGTATGCAATAGGCAAGCACTAGAAATACCCCCAAATGTCCATCAGTAGATGACTAGATATATCCATATAATGGAATTCTGAGCAGCAAAAAACAAGATCAATTACCAATACCTCCAACAATGCCTCTGAACCGTAAAAAAAGTATCCTGAGTGAAAAAAAACAACATGCACAGACACAACTACATATTGTATAATTCTGTTTATATGAAACTGTAGAGACAGACTAGAGATCAGTGGTTGCCTGGGCTTAGTGCTGGGAGTGACGATTTCTGCAAGCAGGCATTGTTATCTGATGGAAGTGTTCTCAAATTAGATTATGGGAGTGGCTACACAACTGTTTCAGTTTAGTAAAGCTCACTGATGGGTGAATTTTATAATATGTAAACCGTATCTCAATAAAACTGTTAAGGGGAATAAAAGTAAAAGTATCTCTTCTTCAGTAAACAATTGGGAACTCCAGTTTTATGATTTGGCATTTCTACAGACTAATTATCCATAATATTTTATATATTAACTTCTTGATTTCACAGAGCCCAAAGGTACAATTAAACCACCATGTAGTACTTTCCTCACTGACAGGCAGTTCTGTTGGATTAGTATACTATTCACTTATATTGATTCACTAATAAGTTAGTCTAAAAAAGTATACTGAGTATCTGCCAGTAAAGATGGGCATCTCCTTCACTAGGTGTAGCTCCGCGTGCTAACCCATTCTTGACACCCCCATTTTACTCTTCCCTGTGCTGTGGTGGAGTCCTGGCTGTTGCACTAGTGCCTTCTGATACAATACTGGCATGCTTTGTTTTTACCTCAGTCACCAAGCAGTCCTCTGTACAGAATGAAGTCTGGGAACCGAGTGGCCACATTCATGATCTATGTGAGTCTGTTGCTCTGGAGACACCAGGGTTTTTTACCTAACGCCTATTTACAGCTCTCTTTTATCTTATGACTTTCAAAGCAATTCCACATACTGATTTTAATCTGCAGTAGCAACCACTAGATAATAAACACAAAAATTGTGTTTATTTTTAGAATTTCAGGTAGCATTTCTGTAAGAGCAGTTTTATTAGGCACAATAGGAGATCTAAAAACATACCATACAGCATTCCTGTCCTCAAAATGCTGAATCTATATATATAAACCTGACTTTGTCATAGGCTGTGGATTAGAATGGAAGGAGGGTGACATTGAAGGCCAAGAAATCATGGGACTTGGAACAACACAGCAAGAGGATGTGAGTCTGTTTTTGAGGTCTCATAGGCAGACGAGTTGCTGTTTAAAAATACAGAACTAGAGATGAGGTTGTAGAACTGTGAGGTGAAAGAGAAGAGAGATGAGGCAGCTAAAACTAAAAGAGGAATTTTGAGGGAAAACCCAAGGTGCTTACAGAAAAATTTAGTGTTTTGCTTTGATATGTAGTGAGAATTCCTTATCTCCCCATAACATTTTCAGTAAAATCTATAATATAATCCATTAAAACATAAATTGCTTTCCTCTCCTAAATTCAGACCTGATGCTATGGGATGTGGTTTCATTCCTAATTTCTAACCTACCCTCTTCCATTCAAATCATGTGGGTTTACCTTCTCTATTGAAAATTTTAAATTCAGTTATCTGATATTTAAATTAGAAGATAGTTAACACAATTAACTGAAAGAATAAACATATTATATAAAAGGGCTAGGCTCTATATAACAACCAAGATGAAGTTCCGTCAGATGTGTCCCCTTCCCCAGCAGTTTCTCATCTCTTACTGCTTCATCTACTCTCCAAAGTGCAGCTGGAAAAAGGCAGTTAGGTCGGTACTTGATGGTCTTTAATGCTGACAGTGCCACATGCTTCTTTATGTGGCCCAGCTTTATGATTCCTGCAAAATGGGCAGGCTGCCAGTTACACTGGCATCTGGCCTCTTAGTGGTCATTCTGAGCATGTGACCAGATACAGAGAGGTCATTGAAGTCAGCTATCTGGCCATGGGGCACATTTTGGATTTGTAGCTGCCACTACCCCTATGGTTGATGATTTAAGGTTGGCGTGAAAGGTCGCAGGCAGCAAAGAATACAGGTAATCAACCAAAGACTAGGACGTTTAGGAACCCAAGATATTTTTGTTCTTTAACACCCCAATATCTCTCCTCCAGCTGTTCCCTAGTTACAGAAGCCCAGTTACTATGGTGATGGTACTATGGCTGTTCAAGGCCCACCAATGTAATGGTGTATGTGCATATCTATTTTGGGTTGGGATGTAAACTGTGTTTCTCCTTGGGGATCTCAATCAAAACAGTTTGAATCTACTGATCTAATGAAGTCCTCATTCAGATTTAGCTGAAAGGAAAAAGAGAGGAGAAAGTCCTAAATGTGGTCCGTGGGTGGCACTGCAGCCAACACCAATGTCATTGAGTAGCCTCCCCTTTCCCAGGAAGGACTCTGTGCAGACATGCCGGGAGCATTTCAGGTTAATGAATACATGATAGAGTAGGGCACGCAGCAGCTGTCTCAACTCTGATTTCTTCCTCTGGCATTATAGCTGAGCGCCGTGGAAGCTGGAGGAGCCACAGCCTTTATCTATGCCAACTTTAGCATGCCTGTGGTGAAGGTGAGCCGGGACTGGCTGTTAATGAGTACAGAACTAACACCCCTCCCTTCACGCTGTCTGTGATTGGAAGGGAGCATATGAAAGTCTTCCCTAATTCTGTCTTCTTTACTGTCTTTTATTTGGAGTCCTTGTGTGGTGCTGTAGGATCAGCACTGGACTGCTAAACACAAGGTCAGCTCTGAATCAGAACCACCTGGAGGGCACTTAACAACAACAAAAATCTTTTACTTGATTTTCACTGACATCACAAGTAGACAGTTGCATATCTGTCTTCCTTATTACTATGTTTTTAAGTGCAGAAAAGTAGGGTCTGACTCATAGTGACCCTGTATAGGGTTTCCGAGGAGCAGCTGGTGAGTTTGAACCACTGACCTTGCTGTTCAAATCAACCTTATAGTCCAGTGCTTACCCTACACTGCTCCTATTATAGTTGTTGTTGTTAAATGCCACGGAGTTGGTTCTGTTTCATAGCGACCCTGTATAGAGCTCCTCAAAGGTAAGACCTCTGTGTCATTCATCTTTGTATTCTCTACAGCAACTAATCCATTCATTCATTCAGTAAACACTGAAGGCAGGAGGCACTGGGGGTGCACAGGAAAAACCATGGTCCTTGTCCTCTGGGAGTGCACAGAGAGGTTAACAGACAATGGCAATGGAGTGCAATAAATATGAAACAGTGCAGCAGGGCAAGATGTTTAATGAATTAATATTTCCCCAAATTCCAGGTGAATTCAACTTCCTGGCAGCCCTTACTAGATATAAAATGAAGATAAATGAATGAGCTAATGCCTATGAAGCACAGTGTTTGATATATTCTAAGATTTGATATATAAGTGCCAGATAAATGCTGAGAGGTTAAGGTCTCCTCTAGACTTGGAAAAGCTAGGGCTACCAGTGCCTCTGGAAAGCTCTTGGCTTTGTCTACTTCTAATGGTCAAGGTTAAATGAAGGAATCAGGAGCATATAGGGAAGAAAACAGCATGTAGGATTTGAAGCCAAAACATCTGAGTTTGAGTCCTAATTTTGCTCAACTTCCTTGCTAGTAAAATGAGCATTATGATAATGTCTTCTTCCTGGGGAGTGTTATTAATAAACGTCTAGGGGAAGAGTCCTGGTGTGGCCCCGTAGGCTAATCACTGGACTACTAACTGAAAAGTTGGCGGTTCAAACCCACCAGCCCCTCCTTGGAAATCCTACACAGGGTCACTAAGAGTTGGAACTGTCTCAGTGGCACTTAACAAGGGAGAGTAAACATCTGAATTAAAATTAATTCTCAGCTGCATGAGGAATACTTTGTTCCTCCCCGAGGTTTTTGTTGGATGTCTCTCCTCAGAGATTTAATGACATCCTGTAGCTTGCCTTTCTCTTAGCACTTGCCACACTAGGTTGTGGTGGCCCATTTCTGTGCTCGCCTCTCCCACTAGAATGTGAGCTCTCTGAGGACCCGAACTGCATGTGGTTTGTTCCTGCACTCCCAGGGCTGGAGCAGAGAACACCCTCAATAAATGACTTAGCATTAATGAGTTGAGTAAGTGACAACTTATGGCATTTTGTGTCATTTTATGCATGCCTGTCCCCACTCTGCATGGAGAATTTTCTTGTTTAATGACATGCATGCATTTGTCCTTAGTCATGGGCGTCCCAAGGACTGGGATTCAAGTCTGACCTTCCTGGGCTGGGCCCTCTTGTTTTCAGAATGCAGCGCTGTTTTGGTGGAACCTGCATAGGAGTGGTGAAGGGGACAGTGACACCCTTCATGCTGGTTGTCCCGTCCTGGTGGGAGATAAATGGGGTAAGACCTGCCTTTCTGGGGGTGAGGGGTGCAGAGTAAAGCGAAATAGGGGGTGGGTAGAAAATAGCATAGCCCTCCCATTCTGTGAGCTTTATTACAATGCCATGATATATTAAAATGATGAGATTCCAAGTCTGTTGCCCCAAGCAGATATGGAGCCCCCCGAAGGACAAGGATTCTGTCACAGAGCAACTAACCCTAAAGGTTGATTCCTGAGAACAGCTGAAGAGGAATATGTTGTTTAGTCCCTAACTTTCTACTGTAAGTAGAGAGCCACCAAACAATGACTTTTGTCACTTAGTGCCTCCCCATGAAGAGCTGACAAAACCTAGACGAGAATAAACAGCGGGAGTGTTTGTATCATACAGGTGTCTAAGAGCACTGATCTCTGAAGGTAGAACAGGAAGTAGAGAAGGGAGGCTCGTGCTGAGATGGAAACTGTGAAGAGAAGCAGTCATGTTTTCTCTCTTTAATTTGGATGGCATCATGGTGGGCTCTTAGGACCTGCATGAATGAAGGGTGAAGGCTCCTAGTTTTCACAGGTTTGAAGATTAGTCTATAGTAGACAGGTCTTGCCAAGGACATTTTCCAGGGGACAATGTGCTCTTTGCTATTTATCTGCTAGAAACAACACATTGTGGTTCATAGAAGGCCAGGACTACAGTGTGGCTAGTGAGGTGCCTAGGGTACCGAATTGAAGGAGGTACCTGCATGATACTGAGAGTGAACGCTGGCCCATAGCATTGGGCCTGCTACTATCCAGTCTGCTGAGCCTTCTCTCTTCTTCCCATTCTCTCCTAGTGGCCAACAAGTGGATACATGAGTATGGACAGGAATTCCGCAGACCCTGCAGCTCGAGCCCTGAAGACTGAAATGTGGGCAAAGAGAAGTTGGTGCAGTTATGTAGCTTTCCAGAGAAACCAGAGCCAAATGCTAGGATTGGAGAGGCAAAAGGAGAGTAGCTTTCTGGAAGAGGGCTCTCGTCAGCCTTGGCTGTTCCTTGAATATGGGAGATAAAAAGGAGACATCTGAGAATTTGCATTTCTCCTCAAGATGTTAGAATCACAGAGTAGAATGGACACTACAAAGTCGATAGTGAAGGAGGCCTGAGAGAAGTTTCTGGAACTCAGAACAGGACATATTGGCAGTCTCTGAGGTTGGATCCATGAGGCCTCTGTGACTTTGAACCTTGGCCCGAGGAGTCCAGAAGTGGCAATAAGGGTGCCTATGGGAGGGGACTAGCCTGACCTCCATGGCTTTGAGCCCTTCTCTTCCTTGACTTTTCTGAAGACCTAGCAGAAAGAAGTGTCTGTGGTTTTTAAAATAGTCATTAAAAATGTTTACAAGTAATTTTTCCTGACTGAGAATATTCTTAAATTACAATGAATGAAAACATTCAGAGCATACATTTTACTCCTATCATCTCAACTAGGCTCACCTCCTCCCAACTTCATTCTCACTACATTCTAGACCTAGTGACAATTCTTTCTACTCCTTAAACGCTGGAGTAGCCCTCACCATCATTCTCCCTTCACAGGCCTTTGCACTTGCTCTTCCTTTAAATCTTCTGACAGCTGAGCTCTTCTCATTGTTTCATTCTTGGCTAAATGTCACTACCGAGAGGCTTCTCTGATCAGCCTCCTTTCTAGCCACTTGCACAGTAATCTATGTTATTATCTTTATAACAGTAGGTTTCCTAGGGCAGCTGTAACAGAGAACCACAAACTGGGTGGTTTATAAGGACGGTATATATAAAAAAAGAAACAAAGAAAGAAAATGGCATATTACATTAGGCAAATCTGTCACAAAAGACTTCGTTAAACAAGAGCAAAGATGTCATTTTGAGGACTAACATGCACCTGACCCAAGCCATGGTATTTTCAGTCATATCATATGCATGGGAAAGTTTGACAATGAATAAGGAAGACCAGAGAAGAGTCAATGCATTTGAATTATGGTGTTGGAGGAGAATATTGAAAGTACCACCGACTATGAAAAGAACAAAGAAATGTGTCTTGGAAGAAGTACAGCCAGAATGTTGCTTAAAAGTGAGGATGGCAAGACTTTGTGCATGTTGCCAGGAGGGACCAGTCCCTGGAGAAGGACATCATGCCTGGTAAACTGGAGGGTCAGCAAAACTGAGGAAGACCCCCAAAGAGATGGATTGACGTACTGGTAGTAACAATGGACTCAAACATAATGGCAAAAATGACACAGGACTGAGCAGTGTTTTGTTCTGTTGTGCAAAGGGTCGCTATGAGTCGGAGCCAACTCGATGGTATCTAATATCAACAACAACAACATGGTCTATAGGTCTATGCAAGGAATACAAACTGAAGGAGTGGTGTCACATTTATCATCAGAACGAACATTTCAAGGTCTACTCTAGCATACCTTATATTAAGTGATAGCAAAGACTCCACTACTAAACAAGGTCAAGTTCACAGATATCAGGGGCTAAGACTTTTACATAAATTTCGGGAGCCCACAGTCCAATTCACGAGGCGCTCTGGTAGCGCAGTGGTTACGAATTGGGCTGCGAACCGTAAGGTCAGCTGTTCGAAACTACCAGCTGTTTCGCAGGAGAGAGATAAGGCTTTCTGCTCTCGTAAAGATTTACAGCCTTGGAAGCCCTATATAGGGTCACTATGAGTCGGAATCAACTTCACGGCACATAACAACAAACAGTCCAATTCATAACATATCACTACCTTCATATGAACTTTATTCACTTATTTAAATATGGTGAGCTGTCTTCCCTGGCGCTTCCAGGTTGAATGCTTGCTTGATGATCACGCTGTACTTTTTCAATGTCTCTTTTATATTTGCTATCTTACAGAATATCAGTATTTATTTGTAGGTCTGTTCCCACTAGACTCTCAGCTCTGAATTCCTCTAGTATCCCCAGAATAAGGTCTGGTTCAAAATAAACAGGCACTCAGCAAATATTTATGAATAAACTATTAAGAAGGCATCATTTGAGTTGTACTTTAGAGGACAAGTAGGCATTTTATAGACAGAGTCTAATGAGAAGTATTTCCCAGCAGGCCTAGCAGAAGTTAAGGGTATATTGATGGGCAACTGTAATATTTGAGGACTTTGCAAAGAGAACATGGCAGCTCACTTGGCTCTGGTTCCTCCACAGGGGTGTGGGTGTATGTCTTGCTTACAAAGAAGCCACACACACAGTGGCTGGCACCAGAGTGGTCAGATACTATGCTGCCCCTGTACCATGCACGTCATCAGTTCTATGGTTCCCCAAGGAATGGGGTCTGCTGCGCTAATATCCAGCTTCCTCCAGAGCTTTATGAATGCCTAGTCATATCCCCAGTATTTCTGCTGAGTTAAGTTAGCATTCTAGAAAATTCTCTTGTTAAACGACTATCACATACTTATAATATGTTCCTCCAGCCCCAGAGGAACAGTCCTGAGACATAAAGCTACAGTCTATGGGTGAGACTGTTCCTCTATCTTCACAGTTGCCAGCTTGTGCCAGAATTAGAAAGGGGACTTCTCAGAATTGCAGGGTAGGTCTGAGTTAATTATAACAAGTTTACTGTATGACAGGCACCAGTGTAAGGGTTTATATGCATTAATTATTTGATGCTCGTCCCAGCCCCTTGAGATCATTATAACCATTATTCCCATTTTACAGATAAGGAGCAGAGTTAAGTAACTTGCCCAGAGTTCAAGGTCCCTCAGTCTGGCTTCAAACCTTATGATTTTAATCACTACTTTTATAATGTCATAGTCAAAATCAGCACATGACCACACATGGAGAACAGAGAATGGTATATTATCAAGTTGAAAAGCTGTGTGGCTCTCCTCCCTAAGGATCATGGGTGCTGGGGCAAAGGGAGAACCCTATGGCTAGAATGAGAGAGCGTTCATGTTGGAGCCTCATGAACACAACGGTGAGAATGCATGCTTATAGAGGGAGGGTAGGGAGCAGCCGCCATCCCTCTGTCCTTTCACACACAAGGAAACAAGAGCTGTTTGGGAGGAGGACGTGAGAGGCTAGGGACCCTTGTCCAGTGAAGCCAAGAGCAGCACAAACTGCCCTTTCATGGAACCACTCAAAGAATCCCGTTTTGAGACCTTGATCGCGCAAATCCCAAGAAGCCAAAGGAGCCATGTAAAAGGGAGGTGGATGAGTAGAAAGAGAGGAGCATTTGCCCCTATATATTCAACAAAAGTTTGATATCAGCTAAGGGCTAGAAAGAGGAAACAAACATTTGCACCCACTCACTTGTATTTGAGTCCTGGTGTGGCGCTGTGGGCAAATGCGTCAGACTGCAAAGTTGTTTGAACTGCAAGGTTGGTAGTTCAAGCTCACCTTGGAAACCCTATACAGGGTCGCTATGGGTCGGAATCGACTCGACGGCACTCAACAACTACTTGTATCGACCTTATTAACAACAACGATCCTTTTTTTTTTTGCAGAGGAAGAAACGGGCTTAGAGATAAGACTTACATGGGTATGGAGGGGCAGAGCCAAGGTCGGAAGTTAGGGAGGTCTTTTCCTACTCACTGGTTCTCTCACTCTGCCTCACCTTTGGATCTACACACTCTTCCCCCTTAGAAATTAGAGCTTCTCTGTCCCATTCCTCTACTATTCCTTTTGTTGCTCATTGGACGCCAATCTTCTTAAGAGCACCCACCTGCCTCATCCCTCGTCTCTTTCCTGGTGCAGTTTGGGAGTGATAGCATTGGTCTGAGATTCAAATGTTCTGAGCTGTAGTCTAGATTGTGTTTGACCTTGGGAAATCACTTTCCTTGTCAGAGCTTCCATTTCCTCACCTGTAGGATGGCATTGCTAATCTGTGCCCCTGACTCACTCCACAGGAGTGTTGTGAGGACTGAGAAAGTTGTGAATGTGCTTTAGAAATGGTACATACTAGGTAGAAATTCATTGTTGAATAGTAGTATGTTTTGCTGTGTATCATTTCACCAAAAATACAACAACAAAAAAAGAAATGGTACATACTGAATTGTGTGACACGGCAGAATAAGCACAGGACCATTAAATCATAAGGTTGATGGTTGAAACCCACCAGCTGCTCCTTGAAACAGAATCAACAACACTTAACAAAGCTAAAGTTTGATTAACAAAAAAACAAACCCCTTGCTATTGAGTTGATTTGGATTCATAGGGAGCCTGTAAGATACAGTAGAACTACTCCTTGGAGCTTCCAAGACTGTATTTTTGGGAACCAATAACTTCATCTGGGGAGTGTCTGGTGGGTGTGACTGCTGAGCTTTCAGTTTAACAGCCTAATGCTTAACCCAGAGTAGCACCAGGAATCCTTCAGTTTGATTAGTTACCAGATATACGGCATTATCATTGATTATCAGTAAAGACTTTTTCCTCTATCCTCAGTTAATTATTCACTATTCACTCCACCCATTTGGAAAAGGCCAGTTACTTAGCTGGTGTTGCTTAGCTACAGATAGAGATTTTCTAGCAAACTGGGAAGTCAGCTCTAGGAATAAGGGAACCTCTTGAGTTGACTTTTTCAGTCCTGAACCCAGTTGTAGATGGAGTAGCCAGCTGGGACAGAAGAATTGGCTCAAAGACTGCAAGTCAAACACTGTTCCTGCAAGAAGTGTGACTGTCTTGCTTTCTTTCTCTGCTCCTGTTGTAGATTGTCTTCTTGCTTCTCCCTAAAGTCTTAAATCTTTTACCAACCTCATTTCGTTCTGTGACACGGCCTTGAGTCCAACTGAACAAAGAGGGTCCCTTCTCCAAATTCAATTAGGTTTTGTCTTGTTTATTCCACCTCATAAATATTGAGCCTGCCAACTTCTCTCATCCCTGTGGACCATGTCCTAATGGACACTTGTCTTTCACGTGGCTCTCTGCAACTATCTACTTACTGATTTCCCACCTTTAGTGTAGTGCCCACCCATCCATCTACACAATACCAGCATCTTTCCTTAAAAAAAAAATAGACCTGATTGTGTCACATCCTTGTTAGGAACTCTGATAACTCCTCGTTCTTCCGATCAAGGCTCTGACTTCTGCCTGTCTACCTGAACTCATC